CAGCCGCGGCCCGCTCCGCCGGCCCGCGGCCCTTCTGCCGCAGCACGCTGCCGCGAGCCGGCGGCGGCGCTGCAGCGCTGTGGCCCTCCTTCGCGAGGTCCGCCAGGTGCGGCGGCAGGGCCCTGAAGAAGAGCGGCCGGTTCTGCGCCGGGGCGGCGCGTCGCAGGCGCGCGCGCGAGGAGAGGCAGCGGGCGGCGTTGCGGTCGAAGCCCTGGAGGTCGGCGGGGAGCACGGCGAGCGCGTGCTCCGCGGGGCGGCCACGCAGCTCGCTGCCGTGGAAGACGGTGTAGAACTCCTGCGCGATGGCGGGGGACCAGAAGTTCAGGAAGGCAAAGCCGCGGTGGGCCTTAGATCGGGCGCTCAGCGGGAAGTAGAAAAAAACGTACTTGCCCATGACCTGCCGCTCCGAGCACCAGCGCGGGATGTAGCAGAACATCACCGTGGTGGCGTCGGGGTGCAGGCCCCCTCCCGCCTTGGCAGTCTCGCTCGCCGGCTTGCTGGCGCGACTCAACGTGGCTGCGCAGACCGTGCCTTCCTGGACACCGTCGGCATCAAGGGGGGAGGTGCAGTAGGGCGAGAAGTCCGCGTCGTTGACCTCTGCCTGCTCGAAGAGGCTCTCGCCCGGCGCCTGGAGGCGGCACTGGCCCTCTGGCACCACCAGCGGAGCGTACAGCGACAGGATGCTGGAGAGCTTTCCGGGCGCCTGCGGGCACGCCGGCGGGGCAGCCGCATGCGACGGGATGAGGCAGCTCGCGCCGCCGACCCACTCGAACCGCGTCGCGTGCGAGATCGCGCGCTCGAACTCGCCTGGGGAGTCGCGCGCACCGACGGCGGCCAGCTCGTACCTCCGAATGCTGGGCGGCCTCCCCTCCGGGACTCCGCCCGTGCTCTGCGGGCACGCGCCGCCCACAGGCACGGGCCAAGGGTCCCGGGTCCTGGCCCCGTCTTCGCTCTCCTCCCCCGTCTCGACGCCCAGAAACTGGGATCGGGGGAGCTGCGCGCTTCCGTGAGAGTTGCGTGGGCGGCTGCGCTGCGCGTCCATGCCCACAAATGCTGGCGCGTCCAGAATCCCACCGGGCAGCACAAACTCAAGGGTGAATTGGGAACCGATGGCAGCAGCGTCGCGGCGATGTTGGAGCAATGACTTGAGCCAACATTGCAACGAACTTGGTTAGCAATTTCTCTATAAGCAATGTCAGTGGAATTCTGAAAGTCTTGCTTCGGAATGTCCTGCTTTAGAGGGCCTGGCCCATGTTCAAATAGTGGGTTCTGGGAGCCTTGCACACGAACAAGCTGTCATCTCTTGGAAGACCAGGGTGAAGGGGCCGAACGGTCATTCATTGCCCCTGGGTGCGAGGGTGAAGTGGGATTCCGTGGCCTGGATTTGGCTTGTTTGCGGTTGAATTCTCATCTCAAACATACCACTTTGGGGAGTCACCCCCTCCGGTGCCCATTGCGTTCTTCAATTGAAATGCACCACCAGGCGCTCGCACCCGGCATGCTACAAGAGAATGTCTTGGGGCTCAGAATGCGCCTCTGGCCCCCGAACTACACAACAACCACGGCTCCCTCCTGATACTTCTTTACCACTTATCGCGCTCTCACGCGGGACTTCCTCACAATTTGTCAACGAATCGCGCTCTCGCGTGGGACTTCCCTGCAATGCGTTGACCCTCAAGAATTATGCTCTCGCTCCGCACTTCCTCATGGTGTACTTGGGAGCCCCGCCATCACTCGAAGCTTCCTCGCGACTCATGCAGACCTGACGCTCCCGCGACCTGCTTGCTCGACCCGGCCCTCGGGCCCGCCCGCCCGACCCGCCCGTTGGGGTCCGCCCGCCGGGCCCGCCCGTCTGGTTCTGCCGCTTGCGCCCCTGCTTCTAACCCCCTTCCTGCTCATCTCTCTCGTCCTCCATACTTCTCCCCCTCCCCTCGTCTCTTTCCCTCCTCCCTCCCTTCACCTGTTTTAGGGGCTGCGCGAATGTAACGATATCGATGCCGTTTCTCCTCGTCGCATGAGCCAAGGGACCTGCGGTGACTGCTCTCTCCATGCCGTGCCATGCTATCTCCTGAAGGGGGGGTCACCGACCCCAGCAAATACAATCTCCAACACGCCCCCTTGGAAGCTCGGCGCACACTCCGAGTCGAGCTTTCAACCGACTCCCGAGAACTTTGTCTGGCTGGGGCGTCCCCCACGCAGACTGGCTGGTTCGTCCCCCAGGCTAAATAACTAAGGCAACCTAAGCACTATCCAGCTCCGAACTCAAACGTCCCTAGCTGGCTTGCTTGATTGGCTCGGCTTCCAAGGGCAGAAAGAAAGGGATATCTTACACAACTCGTGGTATTAAGCATGGCGGATGAGAGCATAGGCCCAGAGAATCTCGCACTGTCATTTTCACAGTGCGACGCGTAGCCGCTCAAGGTCCCATACCCTGAGCCTCACATCAGAATCAGTCCAAAAAGAGTCCCTTGGCGTCGTCCACGCACACTTCATGGAAGGCACCGTGCGCGCCGTCCTGTACTGGCTGAAACCGCGGAGCTGCCCACCTCCACTTGTACGTTGTCTGCGACTGCGTGCTCACATTCCGCCTCGTCTGACTCGGTCGCGTCATCACCAACGAGGCTGGCACGCTGGGAACGGTAGTGTCCACCATGTCCGTGGGCCGCAGCTCCTTCAGCGTATCGGGCTCGGGCGGGACCAGGTGCCATTCTGGATCCCGCAGGTCGGCGTAGCGGAACCCCGCATAGCCGCTGACGGCGGCCACGACCAACGTCCAGACGACCAGCATCAGCAGGTAGCTCGTCCAGTCGCTCGCGACCATGCCGTCCTTGAAACAAACCTCCGTGTCGTAGTAGTAGCCGTCGTAGTGAGCGATCTGGCCCTCACATCGCTGCAAGAGCGTCGCCGCTGCCGCGATCATAGCAAGGGCCGCCGAGCGACTGGCACTGGGAGAGCTCGACGCGCTCCGTGAGCGCCGAACCCGCGCAGCCGCCCCCACGTCGAAGTCCACCTCCTCCGACTGCTGGTCGCTCTCCGCGACCTGGCCCATGTCCGTGTAGATGCCGTTGAGCGCCCTGAGCTTGACGAAGCGATCGTGTCCGAGGATCTTCGTGCCCAGGTCCGCTTTGTTGTCGTCAGTGCCGACGGTGCCGAGGTCCATCAGCTTCCGCTTGATCGCCTGCTGGAGCCAGAGCACTCGCGCCTCCAGACTCCGAACCTTGCCGACTCCTTCACGTCGGGCGATACCTCGGGCAGCTGACGAGTCCGTTAGCAGAGTAGCCGCCACTGTGAAGCCCATGAACTCCAGGAGCGACTTGAAGAAGAGTATGTCCTCGGCGACCGCCGTCGCCGCGTAGTATTCTGCAACTCCCGAGCTGGTGGCCACGATGCCCTGGCGCCTGCTGAACGAGTGCATGGGAACTCCGTCGATCTCGATCTTGCCGCTCGACTGTGACCTCCTCGTCTGCAGGTCGCCCGCCCAGTCGCTGTCGCCAGAGCCAACCAGCTCCACGTTCGTGCCCTCCGTCGGTCTCGGTAGCCAGTTCACCGCATCCCTCGCGCCGAGCAGGTACCTCACGAGCCTCTTGAGTGCGGTGAATGCGCCGGCGGTGGGGCCTGACAGCATTCTGCCCAGTAAGCTGACCTCGTACTGGCAGTCCGCTCTGTCCTGCACGTAGTACATCAGCGCCCCCACGCACGAGCGGTAGACGCCAGCCTGCTGCTGAGACAGAGCGGGGGTGCTCCCCATGAGCGCCTTGTGCGCTGGCACTCCAGGTGTGGGTGCCGTGTTCGAGCTGCCCAGGCCGAGAGTCTCCACCACGTAGTCGAGGTACTTCGGGTTGGCCTGCAGCTCAGTGCCGTGCTCGTACCTCGTCCTCAGCCTCTTCAGGTGCTCGTAGGTGGTGCCGTACTCGTGGATCTCGCCGCCGCTGAAGGTCACGTGTGACTTCAGCTCGTCACGGAAGCCCTCCAGCGCGTCCCTCGATCCAGCCATGTGCAAGTCGTCCATGTGCAATTCAACCACCACCTCATTCTCAGGACTGTAGAAGAACTGCGGGGCCACCTCGCACCTCGTCATGTGCATCTCGTCCGTGAGGATGCCCGCCATGTGCTCCGCCCAGCCTGGCGCCGCCGTGCGCCTGCCAGGTAGCTGCTTCTTCAGCTTCCAGTAGATCTCCGTGTCCTTGCCCTCCGCCTTGAGCATGTCCAGGTACTCCTGCAGGGGGTCCACCACCACGTCTTCGTACTCGGGCGCCTGGTAGAAGGCGTCCGTCGCGTCCAGCGTCATCACCTCGAAGCCGCGCTTGAGAGCCACGAAGTCGATCAGCCTGTTGGAGATCGGGGCTGATCCTGGCGTGAACAGGTCGTCTCGCCACTCCTGCCAGCGGAACTCGCGGCAGACGAATCGCACCTTGCGCTGCCACTCCCGCAGCGCTGGCTTCCACCTCCACTGCTTCTCCCAGCGCGTGGTGATGTGCTTCATCCCCCTCGCCTCCGACTTGGGGATGTCCTCGCCGACGCCGTGGTCCAGGAGGCTCTGCAGGTGCTCCAGCGTGAGCCTCTTGTCCAGCTCGTCCTGCATGTCCACGTCGAACATGCCGTCCGTCGGGTCCTCAACCTCGTCTGAGACCTCCTCCCAGAACGCGTCAGGCGAGTCGTCCACGTTGCCGACGCCCAGCGCGTGGACTGCCGCGACTCGAGCTCGCTTGCCTTCTGAAACTTCCGCCGCAGGCGAGACCTCGCGCCTCGCTGCCTGCGAGGGCGCCGCCCCCATCACCACGTCACTCGGCGCCGGCGGCGCTGGCGCTGGGGGCTGCGGCTGCGGCGGGGCCGCCGCTGCCGCAGGAGGTGCCTGCTGTGGTGCCTGGGGCTGAGCTGGCGCCGCTCCGCCCTCAGGTGGTCCTGGCTGCTGTGGCTGTGGAGCATCAGGCTGGAGTTGTGCATCCGCCTTCGGGAGCTCTGTCGCCACCTGCTGGGGTGCCCGTCTGCGTTTCGACCTCTCAGGAGCCGTCCTCGTAGCCCAGGGTAGCCCCGTCCGTCAGCAGGAGCTCCTTGTCCGTCTGCTTTCCCTCGGGGAGCCGTCGCACCGTCCGCGCGCGGTCGAGCCCCCGAGGCGTCATCACCAGGTGCTCCTGAGACTCGTCCGATCTGCCGACCCAGATCCCTCTGCCCCACTGGGCCTCGCCTCGGTGTAGACGTCGCCCTCCAGTGAGACCTCGACGCGCAGGCCGCGCAATCCGATACAGCACCGTCTCGCCGAAGTTGCAAATGTCTCCCTTGTAGGGGGTGCCCGTCGCTATCTCGTGTGGGGTCTGTTCTCCAGCTCGCCGTGAGAACCGCTCGTGCAGCCACCCAGCGTGTCGCATCATCCAGGCCCAGATAGGCATCGCTGCCGTGACCTTGGTGCCATAGCGCTTCTCGAGGTCCAGCCTGAGAACCCGCGTCTGGCCCTCGACTATCTTCACCGCTGCCTCCGCTGGGTTCGACTGGCTGCTGTGCTTCGGGGTCAGCTCTGGTGTGATCTTGCCCGTGAGCTCGCTGGCCACGCCGTCTAGGATGGCCTTCGTCGCCTGCTCCGTGTCCGTCCTGAGCCTGCACTTGCCAGTCTCGAGCCGCTGCACAAATGACTTGATGCCTGCAATCGCGTATGGTGATGCCGCCTTCGATGGACATGGAATCACCTTCACCACTCCCGTGTCCGAGCTGAACCCCACGAGCATCGTCGCGTAGGTATCCTCAACCTTGGTCAGGTCCCCCTCCTCGTCGGCCGTCTTGCAGAAGCCGAAGTCGTAGCTGATGAGCGGGTGCTTCTGCTCCGAGTCCTCGAGCCTGACCAGCGAGTGAGGGGCGTCTGGAGCCTTGCCCCGGACGCATTCCTCGCACCACGGCGCAGCAGGCAGATGGGTAAGGCGATGCTGTCTCTCCTCATCCGCGCTCGGGGCCTTCGGCACAGGGAGCTGCCTCACCTCGACGGGGTCGTGCTGAATCCCGAGCTGCTCCTTCACTGCCAGCTTGTGCTGCCTCTCTGCCTCCGAGCGCCTGTGGGCTGCCTCTGCCACGATGAGCCGTTCCCACAGCTCAAGCTTCGTGCCGTAGATCGGCATGAACAACTCCCTCAGCCTGGTCCTCAGCGCGCCGACCGAGCTCTCCGCCGTGAGCACTGGTGCCGTCGCCGCCTCCTGCTGCTCTGCCGCGCCGCGGCAGTGGTGCGCAGCTGCCGCGGGCCCCGCGGGCGCGATCGGGAGCCTGAGGCTGTTCCGCTCGAGCTCCAGCCGCACGCTGCGATGGCCCTTCGTCATGTAGAGCCCGTCCTCCAGACTGAGATTGAACTTGAAGCCCTGCCTGAGCAGCTCGCCCATGCTCAGCGGGTCGTCGTTCACGTCGGCGACGAGAAAGTCCGCCGTCGCCTTGATGCCCTCCTGCATCGTCATCTCAACACCCCGAAGGCCAGCCGTCGGCAACGGCTTCTGCTGCACGTCGAAGAGCCTCGGCGCTTCTGCCGCACTGTTGACTGGGGCCTCTGGGACGAACTTGTGCCTGCACAGGTGGTCGTCGCTGCCGCTGTCAATCAGGATGGAGCCGCCGACCCTCGCCACCTTGCCGTCCGTCGTCGCCGAGACCGCGAACACCCAGCCGTCGGGGACGCCATCATAGTAGCCCGATGCAGCACGCACCGAGCCGTCCGACTGCTGCTGCCCAGAGCCCGCTGCCGCCGCATCGCCCTGGACTGCCCGCGTGTTACCCGTCTCCTTCTTGGCGTCGTCTGCCTTCTTCTTCCTGCAGTCCGCGCGCTTGTGGCCCCACTTGCCGCAGTAGCCGCGCTCGCCCTCGAAGTACTCTGTCTGGCCCTTGCCGTGTCCGTGCTTGCCGTCACGATTCTTCGACTTGGTCTTCGCGTCCTTGCCGCCCTTCAGGTTCTTGCCAGTCCTTCCTGACTTGTCCGTATTGCCCGTCTTGCCGACTTTGCCCTGAGATTTGCCTGTGGGAGGTCCGCCTCGTACTGCATCCACCTGCATCGGCGCGACTCCGCCCGTGTCTGGAACGTGCGTGAAGGTCCGTCCTTGGTTGTAGTAACCTCGGATGTGACTCCGAGCCGCGCTGAACGTGAGCTTCACACCCTCAGGAACCTGCCGAAGAACTTAACGATATGGTTCTGGCGCGTGCTCCAGCAGCACGCTCACTCGCACGTTGTCTGAGACGGCCTCTCCGCTCTGGTCCACGCACTCTGCCGCGATAGCCTCCCAGGCGGTGAGCGACTGGAAGAAGTCGATGCCCGACTCTCGGCACTTCGCCCACTTGTCCTGGGGGTTCAGGATGAATCGCAACATGGCCGTCCACCTGTTGCCTGATCTGCTTTCATACTCTATCTTGAGCTGGCGCCACGCCTCGAGGCCGTTCTTCCGCGAGAGCTTGACCACTCCCAGCGACTTGCCATCGCACCACGTGATCAGCAGGTGCCATAGCCGCTGGCTAACTGCCCTCGCACGGTCTCCGAGCTGGTCGTTCGGCAGCGGATCCCGCCGATTGGCCGCCTCGGTCATGAGATCCTCCATGCCGAGCAGCGCCGTGTAGGCCTCGAACCTGAGACTCCAGTCTCCCCACTTCTCGTCCGTGCCGTCGAACCTCTGCAGACGCATGTCCGTCCGCACGTCGACCACATCGAGCGCCGCCATCCCTGCCTGGAAGGAGCGCGGGAGGGTGGCGCGCGAGCTCAGCCCCCGTGGGCACAGGAACCGAGCTCCGCTACCATGTAACGATATCGATGCCGTTTCTCCTCATCGCATGAGCCAAGGGACCTGCGGTGACTGCTCTCTCCATGCCGTGCCATGCTATCTCCTGCAAAGGGGGGTCACCGACCCCAGCAAATACAATCTCCAACAGCGAACGACACTCGGCAGATCGGAGGTTGGGGGTGAGATCGCAGCGAAGCGGAGACCCCCCACCAGGAAATCGGTTTCGGTTTCGTGTTCGTGTCTGCGTACGGGCGAAGCGAAGCTGCGTGGGCGGGCGAAGGGATTGAACCCTCCTCTGGCTTGGGCGCCGCCGGGTCGAAAGACCGCCCCTCGCCCCCGGTTGGCCGACGGTGGCCGGGGGTGACCCGCCGTCGTGCCCCCATGGTTTTCAATGATGTCCCATGGTGTCCCGTAGTGGCCCGTAAGAGTCCCGTGGGTGCCCCGTAGTGAGATCGATAAGGAGGTCAAAAGTGAGATCGGTAGTGAGAGCGATCTTGGGATTGGTAATGAGATCGATCGTGAGGTCGATACTGAGATCGATCGTGAGACCTGTAGTGGGATCGATCGTCAGATCGATCGTGAGGGATCTATCTATCTATCTATATATATATATATAACTATAGAAAATATTATATTCAGTACTGATATCGATGTGGGATTGATCTTGGAACCAATAACTACTGAGAGAGATAGTGAGACCGATAGCGGGATCGATAATGAGAGGGATGGTGTGATCGATTGTGAGAAAAATAATGGGGTCGATGGTGTAATCTATAGTGAGGTCGATACTGATGTCCCGACGGTATCCAGTCGGTGTCTTGCCACTGTCCCGTCGGAGTCCCGTAGTGAAGTGTAAGGTCGACAGTAAGACTGATAGTGCCATCGATAGTGGGACCGATAGTAAGCCCGATAATCATATCGATAACGAGATCGGTCGTGAGATCGGTCGTAAGCTCGGTAGCGAGATCGATAGTACGGTCGATCGTGAGATCGATGGTGAGATTTATAATGAGATCGATGGTAAAATCGCTAGTGGTACCGATTGAATGAGGCGTTCGTTCCTCCCCCCGAACCTCCTTACTACCCGCTGGGTGGTCGTATAGGTAAGGAAGATATACCACCCGGATATGGAACGGTCGAAGACGAAGAGGGCGGGCATCGAGAGTTTGGTGCATATATATTCTCATACGCACCTCTCCGAGGGAGTAGAGCTCAGAGGGGATTAATGCGTCCGTGCGTCCGTGCGTGCGTGCGTCTTCGATTTTCCCGGCCGTTTCGCTAGGGACATCCTCAAAATTCTGAAAATCGGTGGCACCCCTCACGCAGATCGTGAAGGAGAGGTCCAAAAACACATAGGAATTTCAACATTTTAACATAAAACCTTCAAAAACACATGGTCATTTCAATAATTTTGACCCCGATTCTCAGAGAATGGCGGTTTCGCATGAGACATCCTCCCAAAATCGAGCCCCAGACCCCTCCTCGGAGCCTCCTGGGGGCCTCCTGGAACCTCCTGGGGCCTCCTGGGGCTTTCTGGACCTTCTGGTACCCCAGACCCCGCCTCGGAGCCTCCTGGAGTTCTCCTGGGCCTGCTGAGGCCGCCTGGGGCCTCCTGGGGCCTCCTGGGGCTTCAGAACTACATGCACACACAGAGACACAAATCACGCCCAACACATCACACGCTAGACAAACATAACATACACACACACACACAACACCGACAACACACAAAAAGCACGCACCACACAAAGCACACATCACACACACACAACACTCACAATCCTGGGGCCTCCTGGAGCCTCTTCTGGTATCCAAGTCGGGCCTCCTGAGGCTTCCTGGGGGGCCCTGGTACACACATCGCAAGGTGTGGCAACCCCACTTGCGCTCGAGTGCGACTTCGCTGTTGCATGTCACTCCTGCTTCAAACGCCCCTTCAGCTTGTTGTATGAGCCTGGGCACACACGTGCCACTTGTATATATATATATATATATATATATATATATATATATACGTCCGCATCTGAAAACAAGCCAAAACTTCGCTGAGCACCCCGCTCACCCGTAGCTGGGTTGCGTCTGCAACCACAGCGTTGGGTGTGCGCCGAAGCCTGCGCCGCGCCGAGAAGGCGCGGGCGCCGCGAGGCCTCGGTGCTGGTCGCAGCACGACCCAGCAACGGGCGAGAAACAGGGCGGGCACGGGTGGGTCAAATCCCGAGCGCGGGGCGCGCGCCCCAGGCACACACAGACCTGCGGTACCTGCGCGCGGCCGCGGCGGGCAGCGGCCGCTCACCCGTAGCTGGGTTGCGTCTGCAACCACAGCGTTGGGCGTGCGCCGAAGCCTGCGCCGCGCCGAGAGGGCGCGGGCGCCGCGAGGCCTCGGTGCTGGTCGCAGCACGACCCAATTCAACGATGCGACCAGCGCCGTGCGCCGCCCACCCGTTGCGCACGCGGAGCGCGGCGCTCGGGCGCGCGCCGGGATGTCGCAGCCACGCTAAGTGTCTGAGCTGCTGTCAGAGCTGTCCGAGCAGTCGGACGCGGCGTTGCGCGCGGCCGCTACCCTCTCACTTTCGACCTGGACGCGGTCGATGTAAGCCAGGTAGGCGTTCGACGCCCAGCCTCCACGTTCCTTCGCTACTGCGGTCGGTGCACCCGCGCGATCGATGTTATCGGCGTGCCCCCTTGTGCGCGCGAGAGGGGCGGAGGGATGTGCGCGCCGAGCCGCGCGGGCGGTCGCGGGTCGCGACCTTCGTATGTCGTGGGTGCCACTAGGTTGGCACTGTCCACGCCTATCCTGGACAATAGGGACCGAAGGATACGCCGGGCATCCGACCCTGAGAACTGCGCGAACGGCTGAGTGCCTACTGCTGTGCCGCGCAGCAACGGAGGCAGCGCGTGCACGGCGCGCGTCGCGGCGTGCGCGCGGCACCAACACCTCCGGCGGAGTATCGACGCGCACGGCTTGTTCTTCCGCCTTGGCAACCAGAGGGGTGCCTCGTCTGCCGATATGGCCAACTCCGCCTAGCGCGTTCGGCGCGTGCGCGGGTGCCCCAGCGCGCGCGTTTCCAGACGGCGCGGCCCGCCGTGCGGCCGCGCGACAGAGTGTTGCCGCACCACCAGATGGGTAAACACTCGGATGGTAGGCGAAGCAGGAATATGTACGTAATTAGAAACATGGTGGATGCCACCTGCGCGACCGCTGGGTTGACTGGCGAATGCCGCGCGGCGGCCCCGCCTTTTCTTCTTCGCTGCGACCATGTAGGCCAAGTAATTGCGCAATCATGGCGTCACGAACGAAGCGCGGTTCGCGTGGCGTGTGTCCGCCGCGCCGCACAGTGGCTGCCTTGGCCTTCCTGGGCGCGCGACGCGCGGCCTCGCGCGCGCAGTGGCGCGGGGGGCCGACGCCGGAGCAGCCGTCTGTTGCCGAAGGCGCTCGTGTCCAGGCGTAGCACTTCGCGCGCTGTCTGCACGTGCCCGCAATAATTCCGGAACGTGCCCGCGCAAGAGGAAAGTGCCCGACCAGCACGACAGATCGTCCTGGGCGCACGCCGCAGATTATAGGAGTCTGCTGGCCGCGCAGGAGGGGTTGCGCGGATTGGTCGCGCCTCGCTGGGCGGCAGCGCGAGATGCCGGTCACGTCCGAGTACGTCTATCGCGAAATTGAGCCAGCACCGCACACCGCTCTTCAAATATTGGCGGGTGGATGGTATAGTGCTGACCAGGACCTCCAATCGGGCCCGTTCCGCCCATTCGCGCCGCTCCCCCTGCGAGGGCATGGGGCACGCAAGCCACTGCGCGTTGCGACGCGGTCCCCCTGGTACGGGTGGCGAGGGCGGTCCTGGCCGCGCCATCGCCCTTTCGAATGCAGGCGCTATCGCTGTCAGGCGCTCTGGAGAACGGCTCCGCGCATCCCCGCAACGCGCGGAAGAGGGTCCCGCGGTGCACAGGCGATCGAGCTCCGACAGGAGGGGTGCTGGCAGGACACGTAGGTCCGCGATGCACCTCAGCTGCGCCCCGACGAGATCCTGGTGGGTCTCGAACCCTTGCTCCGCCAGTACGCTGGCCGCGCGCGCGATATCGGAGGCACCCCCTGCGCGCCGGCGGGCGCGCGCGCGCGCCGCGGGCGCGCCAGCCGAGCAACCTGTTATTCCGCACTGGTGTAAATCGCGGGCGAGGCGAACCGATGCGACACTGCCTGTGCGGCGAAGACGCCGACCCGCGCCCGCGCGCGCCGCTCGCCTAGAAAACGCTTCACGCCTCTTGACATGCCGGTCACCGCGTCGCGCCCAGGGGGCGGCCCCGGGGGCGGTCGGGCCAGCGCGGCCACCCGCGCGAGTCGACGGCACTCTTCGCTCGTGCCAGCCCGATCGCACCAGCCGGCGGTTTCGCCGCCGCGCCCCTGCAGCTGCATGAGAGAACAGCAGCCATGCCGAACGCATAGAGCCGCGGCCTCGGCCGCCGCCGCATCGCTGAAACGCCCTGGGAAGCTACGGCGAAAAACGCGGGCGAGCCCCATCTTGCGCAATGCCGGCTAGCGTGGCAGCCGGTTCCGCTTGCGCGCACGCGGGGCAGTCTTACTAACATGCAGCACTCGCGGGCGGTGGCCCACAGCGGAAGGCCTCCGCGAGTTGTGCACGGACCCTCTTTCCCCCCAGACGCGAGAGCAAATCCCGCTCCTCGCGGCTGGGAAGGTCGGCCAGGTTCCTTGCCGACTCCACGCGCTCTATCCACGCGTGGACCTGCCGCGGTGGCGTGGCCGCGCGCGCGTGTCTGGCGGCGCGCGGTTGCCGCGCTGCCTGGAGCGCCACTACCGCCGACCAGAATTGGTGCGCGAGAAAATTGTGGTCGCGTGACTTTGCGGCTCCCTTCCTGACAGTGCACTCAGCGACGCTGTTGTCTCAGAAGAAGACCACGCGGCGGCCGGCGAGCGCGCGAGCCCACGT